CGCCTACGAATCGGCGACCCTGCGAACCCTGCTCTGCCTTGAGCCAATTTCATGTCTGTGACACCTACCCCCATTACCCCAATCATTGAGTCAATCTATCTCATCTTCTCTCTTGCGCTGTCAGTTCACCCTCCCAAGCATGACGTCCCTTGCTCTCTAGCACAGACTCTTTGGTGTCTTAGGAGTCCACGTTATGCTCAGTATTCTTTCCCAGCACCACAACTCAGAGACATAGAGTCTTTTTAAGAGTCAGAAAAAAAAAAATTAAACTAGCAACTGTAACCAATGCCTTATACATAATAGCATTTGTGCTACAGCAACACTGAAGGTGGAGTTAGAAAATGTTACCAATATTTTCATATCATTAACTTAACCCTTAAATACAATGGGGGTAGATGTGTTGGAGTCAGTGAGACGGGCTCAACCCAAGCCAGGATTCAGAGCTGTTGGGGTCGCTATGGGTTGCTATGAGTCGCAGGCAACTTGAGGTCATATAACAACAACTTTTTATTAATTGTTCAAAGTCATTTACAAGTAGCGTTGCAAGTCGAAGTTCACAACATTTTTTATCCTGCTTCAAAGGATCGCACAGAATAGAGCACAAACTCCTTCAGTTGTTATTAGGGTAACTCAGTAGTAAATGACTAGAAGAATTAAGCACTCCACTGAAAATTAGTTATAAAGACTCCTGACGGACTTTGCTATGCCTCAGAGATCTGGACAATGAATAAGGGTGACAGAAGAATTGTGGTGCTGGAGAAGAGTCTTGAACTAACATGGACCACAAAGAAAACAAATAGGTCTGTCTTGGAGAGGGTAAAACCAAGTTTCTCCTTGGAGGCTAGGATGTTGAAGCTCCATCTTGCATACTTTGGCCACGTCGCCAGGAGGGACCAGCACTTAGAGAAGTATCATGTTCAGAAAAGTGGAGGGACAGCACAGGAGAGGAAGACCCTGGATGAGATGGATTGATGCAGTAATGGGAACAATAGGAGTAGGTGTGTCAGAGAATCCATAAGACTGGCTGAGGACAGGGTAGTTATCTTCAAAGCTGTGGTATATAGTGTCGTTATGAGTTGCAGATGACTTGACAGCACATAACAATAACAGGACCAAACTAGTAAAGTATGTCTGTAAGCAAGTGAATGTAATATTACTCCCTTTAATGACAGCTTCTCTGATGACCTCGTGGGAAGAAGCTGTGCTGAAATCCTGGAACTTGGTTGGAGGCCATCAGCTGCTCTGCAGGAGAAGGACCAGCAATCTCCTCCTGTGCAACTAACTGCTTCTGAAAACCCACTGCAGGGTCAGCTATGGGTTGGACTTGACCCTACATACGATACACAACAACAATTGTTGTAATTCCATTTTAGGTAGTATACTAGCAAAATAATTGTGCAGAAAATAGCTTTAGATGACAGTTTTGCAAGTTCAAGCTGAAGCTGAGGAAAATTAAACCGAATCCACAGGAGCAAAAATATTACTTTTATTTCAACCCACCTGAAGTTCAGAATCATCTCAGGAACAGGTTTGAGGCCTTGAACACTAATGAG